GCCTTCTATCATCTCCAAAGAAGTGGTTAAGAAAACAGTTAAGTCTCATGATGAGCAGGTAACTAGGGACTGGTAGACAGCATGGATATCATCGTAACCTAGGAGGGCCAACCCACAGGTGCGCAAATGGGAGTTGGGAAGAATGAAAACATGTTTGCTAGAGCACCCAAACTGGGACACAGCTCCATAAAGTCCCTGCTAGAGTGACTCTGTACCTTCACCACTTCAATTAGAGTCCCATGTCCAGAAGACATCCATCGTATGTCCACCCCAACTCAGATACCTGGAGTATGCATATATACATGTCCCTGGAAGAATGTCAATTAATCTGTTAAGTTTCCTGGGGAGAAGAACCGGGGGTGTGCACCACAGAAGGGAGAATAAAATGTTTTACTGGCCGAGCGCGGTGGCTCAAGCCTGTAATCCCAGCACTTTGGGAGGCCGAGGCTGGTGGATCACGAGGTCAAGAGATCGAGACCATCCTGGTCAGCACGGTGAAACCCCGTCTCCACTAAAAATACAAAAAATTAGCTGGGCATGGGGGCGCATGCCTGTAATCCCAGCTACTCAGAAGGCTGAGGCAGGAGAATTACCTGAACCCAGGAGGCGGAGGTTGCAATGAGCCAAGATCGCGCCATTGCACTCCAGCCTGGGTAACAAGAGCGAAACTCCGTCCCCCCAAAAAAAAAAAAAAAAAAAAGTTTTACTGTAAATCTTTCATATGATGTTAATTTTATGTGCTCATATATAAAATCACCAGCTTTTGTGTCTGCCTCACTTATTAAACTGTAAGTTTCTTGAAGACAGAAACAATGGCCTATCCATCTCAGTATCTCTGACCCAAATACATCACCTGGTATGTAGTAGGTAATAAATGGATGGATGGATGACTAGATGGAAAGGTAGATGGATAAATGGATAGATCTCAGCAGACAAGCAGTTTTAACACCAAAGAGATTATAACAGTAGGTTCCTAAGCCTAAGCAAAGAGCCCTGGGAAAGAAGAAATCCATAGAATCGAACTGCAGAGCGACTGGGAGGCAACACCAGAAGGGCACAGTGGCAAGACTGAACCCTACACAAGAAGGTCTCTCCCTGCCCAGAGCTAGAGCTGGACACAGTCCAGGGCCCAGGGTCCTCCCAGAGACAGAGAAAACGCAACTCCATTGTGCACAGTCAGATTTCCAGGAAAGTCAAGAGAGGGACATATGAAGCCTGATGTTTCATGCTTGTAAGATACTTATCTGCCTCTGACTTGAGTGGCTTTCTCAGGCCAGAGAAAGAAAATGATTATGAAAGGGCTTTAAGTGGCCTGGACAATGCTGACAGTAACGTAAGTTACCATGGTAGCTAATGCACACACTTCCTTCTTGATAAATAATACCTCCTTATCTGCTTTCTAAAGAAAGAACTAATGAAAGCAGAAGAAAAGAAAGCAAAGCTACACCTCCTGCAAAAGATGCCCATGTCTTGCTGCTGTTACTTTTGGGGATTCCAGCTGTTGCTTGAGAAGCTGCCATGTGATTATTTGGATCTCAAAGAGCAAACAACTCTTATTTAACAACAGATGCTGCAAAAGCCGTGCAAGGGAACATCTTAGTCTCTTTGACTGCTGTAAGGTGGAGGGCATTTTGAAGCACCAGAGGGAACTGGGAGACTCATTCAGAGTCCATTCATGATGATGTTTGTAGTAATTATGGAAGAAGAAATGGAAGTACGAAAGGCTATTTGAAATGGTTCTCTCTTTAAATTGGAGAGGATGATTTTACAATATGTTAGGATGCCATTATGCGTAGATGCTTTTACAACTTCTTTGGTAGAAACTATCTGGAATCAGAGCCCAGCAAGAGATTAAAGGGCTTGGAGTAAGAGGGGTATGAACTTACTTCTTTGTTTCATTGGTTCAGCTCCAGCCCTTCTCCTTTACAGAAATCAGACGCAGGAAGAAAACCCTCTGAGATCATCTTATGGATGGCCTGCAGGGTCAGCGCCAGTCTATTCTTTGTGTATCTGAGTGAAGTGCTTTATTCAAGCAATTTTGAAAAGATTTAAGTAATGCAGCTCCTCCCACTTTCTCTAGCAAATTTTAGTATTCACAGCCTTGAGCAAAGGTTTGGTCTTATTATTATTTTTTTTTACAAAATGGCAGGGAGATAATGGCTGCCTATTGCTTTCAGGCCAACAACCTACAGAATCTTCTGTTGGTAGAAATGCCACATGAGTAATAGGGGCCTCTGTAAGAGTGGGCTCCTAAGACGCCTTGGCATCAGGGGTACATCCAGGTTTTTGTGGAATAGTGAAAATTTCATTTTCTCCCTTTTCACACTTTTTCTTATATACTAGAGGGAAGCATCAAGTGCTGCAAGCCCATAGTCCTCTTGCAGGGAAAAGACCCCCTGCCCCACTGAGGGACAGATCTAGGCAGGCAATGTGCAGACTGGTGAGTGTCTTTATTTATTTAATTTTTTTTTTTTTTGAGACGGAGTCTTGCTCTGTCACCCAGGCTGGAGGGCAGTGGCACGATCTTGGCTCATTGTAACCTCCACCTTCCAAGTTCAAGCAATTTTTCTGCCTCAGCCTCCCAAGGAGCTGGGATTACAGGCATGTGACACCAGGCCTAGCTAAATTTTGTATTTTTAGTAGAGACGGGGTTTCACCATGTTGGCCAGGCTGGTCTCAAACTCCTGACCTTGTGATCCACCCACTTCTGCCTCCCAAAGTGCTGGGATTACAGGCGTGAGCCACCATGCCTGGCCCTGGTGAGTGTTTTTGCATGAAATCCAGAAGACTGTTGGTATCAAAACCAAGCCAGTCATTGTGGAGTTTGAACATAAGACATGGACTTGGGTCAAATAAGGAAGCACGAAGAGTAGAAAAGAAAGGTCTAGTGGGCGATGCATAAGGCATGAAGTACAGTTTAGAAGGCCAAGTTCCAAATGTCATTCATGAGCCTTCTTTTGGTCATCGGCCTCTATTCAGGAAATAGAATAACATGGCAGATGTTTAATATGCAGCAAAGCCATGAAGAGGCTCCCTCCCACACGGGCACATCTTGGCCTTCTGAGATTTCGCCCTTGCCACTCAGTCTGCTGCATGAGTCGAAGCCAGCTGGGGGGGCAGGTGGGGTGGGGTTGAGGTCGTGAGCTTTTGCTGTCCTTGTCACCTTTCCCCCTCAGGCTGCCAGATGGAAACCCACAGACCTAGTATGCCACCATGACAATCTCCAGAGTGAACAAGGCCCCTGGAGTTGTAAAGACAATAGCCCTGCTTGGTGGCCCTTTGGGAGTCCCAGTGGTGGAAAGGCATGTGCCCTCAGCAGCTGCAAACCCTGAGCCTTCCCCTGTCCCCGCCCCTCTGTACCTCCAATCTGTACCATTCTTGCTGTGCTTCCAAGAGAAGGCCCAACTTGCTCATTTTTAAACACCGAATCATCCTGCTCAGCCCCCGACTCCCTACTCCCATGACTGCCCTTTTTGCTGTGACACAAAAGGGACCTAGATCAGTAACATGAGCAGACCACGACTCTCAGCCACTAACAAAGATGTTGACCTAAAAGGAAGGAGCTGAGGCAAAATTAATATAAGTAGTTTATTTGGGCCAAACTTACAGATTGTGACCTGGGGGCATAGATTCAATTGCCCTTAATATACACATGATTACAAGTGGATTTTTAAAGGCAAAAGGAGGGGACCTGGAGTGGGCTGATACAAAGCTATTGTCAGGAATTCTCATTGGTTTGTAGAAATGACATTGACTAGTGATTGGCTACACATTGTTAAGCTACAGGGTGTGGGTTTAGTGTCTAGTGTGGCACTATTAGGTTAATGTATAGTTACTTGCAGCAATAACACGCAGTTTCAGGAGATAAATACATAGCTCAGAGTGGGGAGTGAGACGTAATTGCTGTCTCATTTTAATGTCTTTCTGGGCCTGATAATTTAAAAGGACTCACATTACTCAAATAAAACTGCTTTTATTTTCTCAAATGCTAAATCTTCCTCCTTCTGAGTAAGGTGATGTGACTGATGTAAGGCAGAGCTTCCAAGGGAGGGACTAGGGGCGGCTCTTCGGTCCTCCCTTCTCCGCTCCTCCCTCCTCCTACTCCTCCCTCCTCCTGCTCCTCCCTCCTCCTGCTTCTCCCTCCTCCTCTTCTCTGTCCTCCCGCTCCTCCCTCCTCCCACTCCTCCCTCCTCCACTCCTCCCTGGTTTGCTCTTTGATCAAAAGAAGCAGCTGGTACTAAGGAAGGAAAGCCAGTAGAGAGCAAGTCACATCTATCATTCCAGTTTCCTTATAAGAACTCATGACCAAAATAAACTGTAAAGTGGAGGAAATAAGATGACTTCAAAAGCAAAAATGCAACTTACTAGCATATTTGATTATACGTAGTCACAAAGTAGGGAAAGGACATTGGTTTTTTGTTTTTGTTTTTTTTTTTTTTAAGTTCCAATTATTGTAAAGTACACTCTTTTGGTAGGAAGTGGCCACCCAATCCCATTACTGGGTATATACTCAAAGGAATATACATTGTTCTACCATAAAGAAACATGCACACGTAGGGTTCACTGCAGCACTATTCACAATAGCAAAGACATTGAATCAACCTAAATGCCCATCAATGGTGTACTGGATAATGAAAATGTGTTACACATATACCATGGAATACTGTGTAGCCATAAAAATGAAAATTGATGGAGCTGGAGGCTATCATCCTTAGCAAACTAATACAGGAACAGAAAACCAAATAGCGCATGTTCTCACTTATAAGTGGGGAACAACACACACTGGGGCATACTTGAAGGTAGAGGGTGGGAGGAGGGAGAGGAGCAGAAAAATATTGAGTACTAGGTTTAGTGCCTGGGCGGCAAAATGATCTATACAACAGTCTCCCACGACATGAGTTTACCTATGCAACAAACCTGCACATGTACACTTGAACCTAAAATAAAAGTAAAAAAAACAAAAAACAACACCAAAAATTTCTACATGTTTTCTAGTATTTGTGGTCAAAAAAGTAGTCGTAGTGTTACAGGAAAGGGGTCCTGTTCCAGACCCAAGAGACGGTTCTTGGATCTCACGCAAGAAAGACTTCAGGGCAAGTCTGCAGAGCAAAGTGAAAGCAAGTCTATCATATTAGGAAAGTAATATAAGAATGACTACTTCACAGACAAAGCAGCCCCGAGGCTTTTTTTTAGATGGAGCCTCACTCTGTTGAGCAGGCTGAGTGCAGTGGTGCAATCTCGGCTCACTACAGCCTCTGCCTCCCAGGTTGAAGCAATTCTCCTGCCTCAGCCTCCTGAGTAGCTGGGACTACAGGCATGTGCCACTATGCTTGGCTAATTTTTGTATTTTTGGTAGAGACAAGGTTTCACCATGTTAGCCAGGCTGGTCTTGAACTCCTGATCTCAGGCAATCCATCTGCTTTGGCCTCCCAAAGTGCTGGGGTTACAGGTGTGAGCCTGGTTGCCTATCTTTACGGTTATTTCTTGATGATATGCTAAACATGGGGTGGATTATTCACACCTTCCCTTTTTAGACCATCTAGGGTAACTTCCTGATGTTGCCATGGCATTTGTAAACTGTCATGGCGTGGATGGGAGTGTAGCAATGAGGACAACCAGAGGTCACTCTCGTCGCCATCTTGGTTTTGGATTTTAGCAGGCTTCTTTACTGCAACCTGTTTTATCAGCAAGGTCTTTATGACCTGTATCTTGTGCCAACCTCCTATCCCATTCTGTGACTTAAAATGCCTTAACCATCTGAGAATGCAGCCCACTAGGTCTCAGCCTCATTTCATCTAGCTTCTATTCAAGACGGGGTTGCTCTGGTTCACACACCTTTGACAGTAGCAAAAAGCAGTCTCCTCTCATTTCAGTTGCAGTGTTGTTCTTTTTTCTGAGTTTTTAATTCCTTAAATCTCTATGCATAGCTTTTGTTCCCTAAATGTGGTTATGAGTTCAAGATGGCCTGCTGCTCAGACCTTCCTTAAGTGCGGAGGCTTTCTGTTGGCTGTGGACTACCCCAGAGTTACCCCTGACAGGCTAACACTCATAGGCCACTGTGTAAGCCAGCTATGGGTGCCTGTCTAGAAGGCCACTCATAGGCAGGTTGCAGATGGATGAAGGCACACAGTCCTGCTTCGATGCATTTTCTCAGTTTGTTTTTAATTAACATATCCTTCTTCCCACCCCTGACAACAGGGTAGTTTCATCAAAATCTGTTGAAATGTCTGTAGGAAGATGTTCCTTGGAGCAAGGTCCCTTGATTCTGAAACACAGGGCTGGAGAGAAGGCACAGTATTCCAAGGGGATAATTCACAGAACCATTGGCAGAGAGTAAAGGAATTCTTGGCTTTATGTGGGTTCCCCTCCCCCTACTTCAGTCAACATTTTAAAATACTTTCACCTGCTTCAGCAAAGTCACAGCTAGGGAGCTTGTTGACTACCACGTGCTGTTAATACCCCTCTCCCCAGAGCTGAGCTTGTTAGCAGGAGGGCTTTGCAATGCATAGCTTTCTTTCCATCCTGATAGGCTTCATTTCCAAGCTGGTGGCTCTCTGAAATTCTTTTGCAAAACAGAGCCTCAAATCTCTGGCTCCTTCCTGATTCTATCGAGATTCTGTATGAGAATTTAGAACAAGCTCAGCATTCACCAGAATCGCCTGGCCTTCTTTTCTCTCCTGTGATTGCTATGTTAATGAATCTGTTGGATGTCGCTGTGACCTACAAGCTCCCACCCAGCGGGAGAGCCCTGCATCTGAACTGCTGATATGTCATACTAAGAAAGGAAAAGAGGCCCTGCCTGGCCAGGCAGAGGGACAAGGGAGTTTGGGAAACCTTCCAAGACTCAGATCATTGTGTAGAGATGTAAAAGATCACAACTCTCCTTGTTATTACTGGCGATATATGGCTGGGCAGGCAGATCTGCACCACAAGAATTGCTGAAATTGAGGAAACCTTGTGGAATGAACAACCAATTAAGGAGGAAGTGAGAGGCCAATGGCAGTGTGACCTTAGTGGCAGAAAAGCCATATGTCACATTGCTGTAACAATTTATGGCAAATATTTCTTTGTCTGGGGCTTGCCTTTAAATAGAAATTGCAAATGATGCAAGTTCAGGGGCATCACCTCCAAGTGCAAAGTCCTGACAGTAGAGAATGCTGCATGGAAGGGTTTCACAGGTTTGGGGAACCTTGGCACGAAAGAGCCCAGTTGTTTGAGTTTCATCTACTCTTTTTTTTTAAAGAATGAGTAGATATGTGAAAATTGCAGCTGGAAATGAGCAGCTTCTCATAAGCTTTTAACAAATTCAGGGTTTGTGGCTCATCTCTGTGTTTGTATTCTCAGCAGCTCAGATCCCTGGCTTGTTTCTTGGGGATCCCATCCATGAGGGCCGATATGGTTTGTCTGTGTCTCCACTCAAATCTCATCTTGAACTGTAGTTCCCCACATGTGGGGACTTGTAATCCCCACATGTGTTGGGAGGGACTGGGTGGGAGGTAATTGAATCATGGGGGCAGCTTGCCCATGCTATTCTTGTGATAATGAGTAAGTTCTCATGAGATCTGATGGTTTTATAAGAGGTTTCCCCCTTCGCTTGGCTCACATTCTTCTCTCTCCTGCCGTCTTGTGAAGAAGGACATGTTTGTTTCCTCTTCCACCATGATTGTAAGTTTCCTGAGGCCTCCTCAGCCCTGTGGAACTGTGAGTCAATTAAATCTCTTTCCTTTATAAATTACCCAGTCTTGGGTATGTCCTTATAGCAGCATGAGAATAGACTAAAACAAGGACCTTCATGAGTATCTCAGGCCTAGCAATGTCCACTAGTCTGGACAAAGGCACCCATGGCTGTGGAGACCCTCTGGCACCATGTTGGCCACACACATTTCCTAGTTTCATCTCTGTTACTTCACAAACAATGAGTTACCTCTACAATACAGGGAAGAAAATGCTCAAGGCCATAGGCAACTGGGCAGACATTCCAGAAATAGGATGTCCAAGGATTCAAAGATAATGCCATCATAGGAACTGGCCATAGGGAGCACTTGATCCAGGAGTGGGCAGAAAGTAGAGCCATTCGGTTCCCTAACTGGTGAAAGGAACAGCCATCCTTCGGCTCCCACCTAGGGAGCCATCTGGAGACCCCTGGTCTTGGGTAACCACCTTCAAACTACAGTTCTCTCTGCCCTTCCACTGCATCTGTCACTCATCAACTTGCCTCTCTAACCTCTGGATCGCGTGGAAAATGCATACCTCTGCATTTCCTCTGGGAGAATTGTCTCTCATATAGTTTGAGCCCAGGGAAGGCCTTGGCTTGGTCATCTCAGCTTAAATACCATATTCTTCTTTTTCCAGTCCTCATCCGCCAGTCAAATAAGGAGATTCTGATAGTTACCAGGTAGCTCATGAGGCCAAGACATTCCATTCACCAAGGTTTGAAGTAAGTCAATAGGGAAACAGAGAATCTACTCTATTGTTAAGCAAACACTCTCTTTATGGGTATTTGGCCCAAACAAGTTCTGTTATATGGAGCACACTGATAGAAGTTGAAAATGTAGAATGTTAAAAACTTAGTATCAAGAATCAGTGGCTCAAAATAACCATGGAGATGAAAGATCACAGACCGGTCATCATTAGACAGGACAATACAGTGTTCTTAAAGCAGAGATTCAGAAAAATATCTGTTAAAATGCAAAATATGATCAGAAACAAACTCTAATATCAAGATTCTTACACACACATATATATATATATACACACACACATATACACAAGCCAGGTGTGATGACTCATGCCTGTAGTCCCGGCACTTTGGGAGGCTGAGGTGGATGGATCACGAGGTCAGGAGCTGGAGACCAGCCTCGCCAGCATAGTTAAACCCTGTCTTGACTAAAAATACAAAGATTAGTTGGGCATGGTGGCATGTGCCTGTAGTCCCAGCTACTTGGGAGGCTGAGACAGGAGATTCACTTGAACTGGGGAGGCAGAGGTTGTGGAAAGATGAGATCGTGCCACTGAACATTCCAGCCTGGGCGACAGAGCAAGACTCTGTCTCAAATATATATATATATACACATATAAACACATGCATATATGTGTGTGTGTGTGTGATGTGTAGGTCTGTCATGTGTATGTGCATTTGAATATGTGTGAGTGGGTGTGTACACACATGTATATGGAAAGGGAGAGCGAGAACAAGAGCTTGAGCAAGCAGTGGAGATGGGAAAAGCTCTCCTGGTCACCATTTTGTCCTCCATCTCTTAATTCTAAGAAGCAAATAAATGGCTAAGATTAAAATTTTAGGTTAGAGGGGACCTCTGGGATATCAGAGGCAAGGCATTAGAGCAGCTAATGGAAATTTTTGCCACTTTCACATGACACTATGTGATTTGTCTTTATGTGGGGCCCTGGTTACTGAGCCCCCTCCCTTCTTCCCTACCGCTCACTCCCTTCCTCTAGCCTTCTGATCACCGCACATAGCAGTGCAGATCTCTCTGTAGACATAGTACCATCTTAACGAATTATCTGCAAGGAATCCTGTGTACCTGGTTTGTTTTATTGGCTAGCAAGTAGATGCATTATTTCCTAGTCAACAGGCAGGGCAGAACAGCGTAGGGCCTGGATTCAAGGCTACATTAGCAAGGGCAGCTGTTCAGATCACAGACTTCTCAGGCAAAGTAGCAGAGAGGAGTGACTGATGTCAGCTCCCACCAGCACTGACAATTCCACAGCGAGCTGGAACCAGGATCTTGGGACAGTGGCTCCAGATAGGATCTGAGGCAGTAGGATGTCATGCTTGTGAGCACCTTCCTGGAATTCTGCTCTATTGGTCAAGAGGAAACCTAATCATTTCAGGAACCAAGCACTTTCTTCTTATAGCAAAATATAATCTTCTCAAAGCAATCTTTGCCTATCCTCCATGCTGCATTTTAGCTATCAGGTGCAGAAAATTCTTCAGGGTGCCCGAGTTTGAATGCCTGACCTTTGCCACTCAAGGTGTGGCTGCTTTTGGGATCTCCAGCATGCTTCCAGCAAGTTCATAGGATAATACGGAGACCAAAAAAAATAAAAAGGAAAATCCTGGGGCTCAGAAAAGAGGGAATTCATCTCTTCATTCTCTCTTTTTATAAGTGCCTTTATTAAGAATATGTTAAGACTGATACATATTTTTCAGGCATTTGGCCAAAATGCCAAGACATTTTAAGTTTGACTAGAAGAAGACTTATGCCTTCCAAATTGCTACCTTGATAAATGTTTCTATTTTATCCCCTGGATAGATTTAATTCATTTACTTATTGCACTGAAAGATTCAAGCTCAAAGATATTTAATTATGTCTAACCTTTCTCCCATTAAGTAGATTAAAAGTCTAAAGCATTGGCTGGCCCGCCAGTATGGCTGGTGTGTTAGCTATGTATGCTCAATTGCAGCTTGCAAAAAAAAAAAAAAGATATTACATCAGCCTTAAAACAGTATTTTTTCAAGATTTGATTCTATTTTGAGCTTACACTTGGCTTAATTGTACTAAGCAAGGAAATACTATTACAGTGGAGCCACTGAATTATAAAGATATTTCTGTTGGCGATAAAGGCCAAAAGAGTCATCCAATGTAAATTTATCCTTGGCTACTGAGTGGTTACTCTTTCAAGGACTTTGGAAATTGGCAAGACTTCTGGTTCTATGCCAGAAGTGCTCTTAAATGTGGTCTTAAAATAGGGAAAAATACTACACCTAAGAAAGTAGGTACAGGTTTCTTATTTGAGTGAGGCCCCTCACAATAAGGAATTCCTTAAAGGCAGACAGGGAGAAATCTAAGTTCTACATGTCTAGTAATGTTATTTTACTTACTGCAATAGGGAGACAGATAAATATCTTGGTAAGAAACTGTAATTGTGAATAATGCATATACTACAATATTTCAATGCATGACAGCGTTT